TTGTTAGCCAAACTGGCATAATGAATGAGCGCATACTGGATTCGTGCCTTGGGGGCTATGTCTGTGGACTACCTCAATGTAAGTGACATCATGCACAACCATCTGGTAATTTTGGGCATCAATTTTTGTGTAAGTAGTCCCTTCTCTCACATGATTCTTCCATCCTTTGATTTATTTATTTCTTCTCATGGTGTTTTCTATTTTTGCCTCCTGAACTGTAGTGAATCACAACGAAAATTGCATGTCCATTGAACATCCCTTGAACTTAAAGTTTATTGATGACAGCGGTACACGTATCAACCGTGTTATCATTGCAAGAGTTTCAATGAAAGGTGTTATTTCTTCAGTTCCACAACATCCTTTAGAGATCGGAGTTCAGTGTTCAGTGAATCTTGGTGGGTTCTTTGTTGTCTGCGTGAGATGGTAATGGGTTTGCAAGCGTCCCGTTAGGGACAGTCTGAGTGCAAACAATCTCCTAAAGGTCCAAGAAGGAGATGTAGAATCCAACACTCAAGGAAACACGTGGGGCAAGGATCGTGGGGGATGAATGGATCTAGCTCTTTCTTATTGATCACTAGCGTGACCACAAGTGATTAAGGATCTTTGTTGTCAAATTTTGGCCCAAATTACGATGGCGACTAGTAAACCCGGACGGAGGTAGTAATTTTCTCCTTTAACAGATGGTAATGACTAACCTTTTCATCAAAGAGAACCAAAAATCTCAAAACATACCACATGAATCTTTCAACATACCTAGGTCTTCTATCTTGTGACCCTTTCGCTATCGACAAGTTCAGTTCACGCTTCCTCCCATTTATTGACATCGCACATTATGATTTAAAGCATATTTCTTAAAACCTAGTTTCAAATTATAAACCAATTCAATCTTTGAGGAAAAGGTCATATTTCATTATTTAACAAACAAATTTTATTTTTTGCTTTTGTAATTATATATTTAAATACAATGTTTGCTAGAAATGGGGCGTTCTGAGCCCCCGGATTGTTTCGTGAGGTTGTCCCTTCTTGTCAGTTGGCCATCGCTCGTTTCTCCCACGTCGGTCTCATCTGCATGTGTGTGTGTGTGTGTCTGTTCGCTTTGGCTCTCAGGCTGCATGTTGTCGTTTCTCTTGCCATGTCCCACATGTCCGTGTGCGTCCTTTATTCATTCTTGTGTACCAAATGTTCCTAGGCCTACAAGTCTGAAGGGATGAGGGGATAAGTGTTGGACACGTTGGTTGCGTGTAACACTTGGCGCTTTGCAGAGTGTATGTGCCATGTGCAGTGTTACATACCATTACTCATCCTTGAGTTGCAACGCTGGACTACCCAGCCACCTGCAACTCTCATTAAGCAGGGGACCTCCCGCTAACCATGGCCGCCAGAAATATGTGATGGTGGTGAGATATGATCTACCAAGTTGAGAGAGTAAAAAACCATCTACAATGCTGGCAAGTATATCCGATGGTATTAATATTAATTCATGGACTTGACGTACTAGGGATACCAATGCATGTTTGAACTCAAGATTAAATTACTTGTCATTAGTTAATTAACTAATCATAGTTCTCTTAACATTTGATGATCTGACAGGTTAAGTTGTCTTAATCAACTTGCCCTTTCCACTCGTCTCTGCAAGCGGTCACATTTAATCACTTTTCATCGGTAGGCTACAAGAATTTTTATCAATGTTTTTTGCATGCACTCATAGTTTTGTAAATCAACATAAGCTAAGACTTGGTGTTACGCTTAAAATTTAGGGTGTAAAAAAATTATATGTATTTTTGGTTCCTGGGTACTCATGCCAACACGTTTACGGAGCTCCATAGGAATAGGATCGATAGAAAAGCCTGTCAGCATCACCATGCAATCACATTGAACTAAGTATGTATGAAGTATCAAAATATGTCGTAATCATGGTTACTTGATTTTTCTTGTACTAACATCCAAAGTTCTGGCACAACATGTTTATTATTCTCATATGCTAAGGAAAGCGTACGCCATATGCACACATATTTATTTATACTATCCGCCTACCAGATGTACTTCACCGCTACGTTGGAGACCATCTCAATCCCCCATATTCAAATACATACATCCATGCAACTATATAAGACACCCAATACCATTCACAAAACCAAACCAGAGCACACACTACACACTAGTAGTAGCAAGCAATTCATCAAACATAACATGGCCATCCCAAAAGCTTTGATCCTTGGCATCGTCGGATGCGTCTGCTTCTGCAGTTCGGTCCTAGCAGCTCGTGAGCTCAGCGATGACTTATCGATGGTGGCAAGGCACGAGAGCTGGATGGTGCAGTACGGTCGTGTGTACAAGGACAATGCTGAGAAGGCGCAACGATTCGAGGTGTTCAAGGCCAATGTCGGGTTCATCGAGTCGTTTAATGCCAAGAACCTCAAGTTCTATTTGGGCGTCAATCAGTTCGCCGACCTAACGAACGAGGAGTTCAAGGCGAGGAAGGCTAACAAGGGGTACAAACCGAGCATGGAAAGGATGCCTACCGGATTTAGGTATGAGAATGTAAGTTTCGATGCACTTCCGGCAACTATAGACTGGAGAACTAAAGGAGCAGTCACCCCCATCAAGGACCAGGGCCAATGTGGTAAGTATGTTTAGGATAATAATATATTGCATATATGTTTGAATTTTTAATGAGAATGTCCTCTTATAGTATCTGCACAAACGTAAACATTTGTAGGTTGTTGTTGGGCTTTTTCTGCTGTCGCTGCTACAGAGGGCGTCGTTAAGCTGAAAACCGGCAAGCTTATCTCGTTGTCTGAGCAAGAACTAGTGGATTGTGATGTCCATGGTGAAGATCAAGGTTGCGAAGGTGGGCTTATGGATGATGCCTTCAAGTTCATAATCAAGAATGGCGGTCTCACAACCGAGTCCAACTACCCATATACCGCGGCAGATGACAAGTGCAAGAGTGGAACCAACGGTGCCGCAACCATCAAAAGCTATGAGGATGTTCCAGCCAACAACGAGGGAGCTCTCATGCAAGCCGTCGCAAGCCAACCCGTCTCGGTGGCTGTAGATGGAGGAGATATGACCTTCCAATTTTACAAAGGTGGAGTGATGACAGGCTCATGTGGCACGGACCTGGACCATGGTATTGCAGCTATTGGTTATGGCAAGACCAGCGATGGCACAAAGTATTGGTTGCTGAAGAATTCATGGGGAACAACATGGGGCGAGAACGGATATTTAAGAATGGAGAAGGACATTCCTGACAAGAAAGGCATGTGTGGCCTTGCGATGGAGCCTTCTTACCCCACTGCATAGAATGAGCTTCATATGCAACATATCATGTGTCTACTTTAAATACATATAGTTTGTGTGTGTATTTAAAGTAAAGTTTGTACTTCATATTTCGTGAATACAATGTAAATTATGGCACATATGTTAAGATTGATGAAGAAGTTGTGTTAGCTCTATCATTTGGAGATTTGGCACTAGTTGTGTTTTGTAAGTGAACTGTGTTGTCTCTTCTTCCTTCATATTTGTAGAATGAACTCTTTGAGTAGTTTTATTTTCACGATAATCTTAGAACAATAAAAAATGTGAAAATGGTGAAGTTGATTTGCAAATAAATGTTGCAGCCTGAGAATGGAACAAAATGTTTTTTATATCCTGAGGAAGTGAAATAGGGTGGACTTTTCCCTCCACCAATTCCCGTCGTCCTGGTCCTTCAACGCTCGACAACAGCCTCCTCTCCCCAACTACAACACCAACCATAATTTTACTCTGGATAATCCACAATTAGAAAATGGACCTTAATTATGATTAGTAATTAAAATAATACGATTAGCATCATGGGGGTCCATACCTCAATATGGTAGAGCACATAAATGGAGAAACAATAAGCTAGCTTTCTACTAGTAATGAACAGGCAGGCTAACAACTCCCTCCCATATGGAAGAGATGGTCCACATATATGGATGTGACTATTGTTTTGTTTTGCACTTTCTAATCTATAAAACAACTTCACCACATAATAAGGAAAAGATGATTTGGTCCCAACTGAAAGAATGATTTGTGTGAGCAGTCCCTTCTATCACATGATTCTTCCTTCCTTTGATTTGCTCCTTTTTTCTCATGTTGTTGTTTATTTTTGCCTACACACCTGTAGTGAATCACAACGGAAATTGCACGTGCATTGAACATCCCTGGAAGTTAACTTTTACTGATGGCAGCGGTACACATATCGACTGTGCTATCATTTAAAGTTATATATTTTCATACTTTCAGTGATAGGTGTTCTTTCTTTAGAGATCAGAGTTCAGTGTTCAGTGAATCCTGATGGGTTCTTTGTTGTTTGTGTGAGCGGCCCGCTAGGAACACTCTAAGTGCAAACAATATCTTAATGGTCCAAGAGGGAGATGTAGAAGCCAACACTCAAGGAAACACGTGGGGCAAGGATCGTGTGGGATTGGATCTGGCTCTGTCATTGATCACTAGCGTGTCCACAAGCGATTAAGGATCTACTTAGTGGCTTTGGTTATGTTTGTTTTCTCGGATCTCCCTGAGCATGCATATCCGGCAAAATCATATCACGATCTGTTCTTTTAGTACTAAAATAAGGCAGATGAACAGCTAATTTGGACTCGATGGGATCTCCGGAAGAGGACAGTGAACAACTAGAAAATGCATGGACACATGAGCAACGACAGTGCCTTTTCCAAAGCAAGTATCCACATGCTTGTTCTTGCCAATTTAACCTTCTTATCTCGCGTGCATGAGCTGTCCGTTGGTGGCTGATGGCCCAATATCAGTTGTCCTGCAGGAGCACTTGTTAAATGTCACGGCAGAATGTGCCCCATGTTACGGCATTCCATTCAATGATACCAACAAAATGACAAGGAAATAGCGCATGCCCTTACCAACATGGCAGAGATTATATGTATCCGCCCATCTTGTAGCTGAGCACGCACTAGCAGTGGTGGTTTTGCTTTGCACTTAAGTAGCTTCTTGTAGCGATGACAAGGGGTGGTGATGCGGCGGCGGAGGCGAGCGAGCACCTCCTTGGCCCGCCGCCGGCGAGGGGTGGCGACGGGTCGTCGCTGGGGATGGTCATGGCCAGCACAGGCGTCGCCGTGCTCGGCTCTTTCGCCTTCGGCGTCGCGGTGAGTCTACTATCAGTCTATCATAGTGTAGAATCATCTGAACTCCAGCCTTGTGCTTGAGAAACAATTTCTGTATGTGATTGGCGCTGCTGCAGATTGGCTACTCGGCACCAGCTGAGGCCGGGATCAGCCGGGACCTCCATCTGACCCTCTCCGAGGTACGTCCGTCCGTGCCTAATGTGCCACCAATGTCTCACTGACATGTGGCTCCCGGTCAACTATTCAGCTCAAATCGATGGCAGTGGCATTTCTCATATTGCTCCTCTCATTCCCAGTTCCTCATCCGTGTAATATTCTGCAGTACTCTGTTTTCGGGTCGGTAATAACAGTCGGGGCCATGATCGGAGCGGTCGCGAGCGGGCAGATTGCGGATGTTGCTGGACGAAAAGGGGTATGTCTAGTACTCCCTCCGTCTCAAAATCAAAATAAATATCTCAACTTTGTACTAACTCTAGTGTAAAGTTGTACTAAGGTCAAGACACTTATTTCGGGACGGAGGAAGTAGTATATATGCCTCCCTGAATGATCATCTTAATTTGTAAACATTCGGATGTTTGTATGTTGGGTGCAGGCGATGAGGGCTTCTGCTCTCGTTTCCATTGTCGGATGGCTGGCAATCTTCTCTGCACAGGTCTTTTCCCTTCTTGTACTGTCGCACCACCGTGTAAGAGGACATAGCTGCTGATGTGCCTCTGAACTTTGTTTGTGGTAACTTTCAGAGTGCTTACTCGCTTGATTTTGGGAGATTTTGCACCGGACTCGGCGTCGGAGTGTTTTCATACGTGGTACGATCATCATTTACTCACACCGTTCAGCAAACCGTGGGGTCTTTCAGACAATTTCAACTTACACTAACACTAGCCCTTGCAACCCAACAGGTGCCGGTTTTCATTGCAGAAATTGCTCCGAAGGCTCTTCGTGGGGGACTTACAGCTCTGAATCCAGTAACTCTTTTCCTCCTTGAAACAAAATATGAACACACTATAGCCTTGCTGGCCTTTTGGGAACAACTCTGAAATTTCTGCCTGAACTGCATGTAGTTGATGATAGGCACTGGATTATCCATGACGTATATCGTCGGCACAGTTGTGTCCTGGCGGATGCTGGCCATGGCTGGTACATATAATCTCTTACTAGTCCACATTGTAGTTTTTGTGTTGACCATCCTCATGTACTCTGATCTGATGATCTCCCCCTCTGGCATGACATGTATACACAGGACTTGCTCCATGCATAATTCTCATAGTTGGTCTCTTCTTCATTCCTGAATCTCCTCGATGGCTGGTAATTATTTCTCTGACTGAATGACATCCTTGTAGTAGCATCTAGTTGTCACACTTACCAATTCAGCACCAAATGTTTACCACAGGCAAAGGTTGGCCGGAAAAAGGAGTTTGAAATAGCACTCCAGCGCCTCCGTGGCAGAGACGCGGATGTGTCCCTTGAAGCTGCAGAAATCAAGGTTTGGCGCCGCTAGCTGTGTATAGTTTTGTCGATTCAGAAAAAAAATGCAGCGTCGTCATGGAAATGGAATTGCTCTACATGCAGGACTTCGTCGAAACTATTGACAATCTTCCAAAGCCTGGAATTAAGGATCTCTTCAGCAGGCCATACATCCGTCCTGTCATTATCGGCGCCGGTCTAATGGTTTTCCAGCAGTTTGCAGGGATAAACGGGATCCTGTTCTACGCCAGTGAAACATTTGTCTCAGCTGGTAAGCTGGCAGATCTCGGACTTGGAGATAATTGATTTTTGTCAGTTAGGTTCTGAAAGTTAAGTTCTGCTGAGTTACCTGCAGGGTTCGATTCAGGAAACCTAGGAACAATCTTGATGGCGTGTATCCAGGTGAAGCTAATAGTACGCAGATCGATTTTGATCAAATTCCTCGGTAACTCTTTGACTCTGTGCAATCTTCACTATAACAGTTACCACTCACAACACTTGGAGCTCTACTGATGGACAGGAGTGGGAGAAAGCCGTTATTACTGGTAAGCTCAGAGATAAAACTTGGCCAACATGAACACTAATTCTGACCTTTCATTTTATTTTACTTTTCTGCAGATTTCCACATCTGGACTCCTCGTGGGGACTCTTATGTCAGCAGTATCATTCTACCTTAAGGTAACTTTCATTGCATAGCTGCTAGTGGTCTTTTGTGTCTTTTAATTCCTTTTTTGTATCAAAACTTCATCAAGTGGTGTTGAATGTAGGTTCACGGTATATTCCCGAAGCAAGTCCCAATCATCACACTCACCAGCATATTGGTACACCTGAAAAGCCTTTCTTTTGTTCAACAAGTGACCTGATGCTTATCTGAACTTTTTTGCATGCTGAATCCTTTTGTAATATAACTGAAACAGGTCTACATTGCAAGTTATTCACTAGGGATGGGTTCCGTTCCTTGGGTCATAATGTCAGAGGTTTAGAGTTCACACTTCAGAACAATCAAATTCAAATCTCTTCATCGCTCGAGATTTCTTACAATACCATATGAACTTACTTAGAAATGTTGGATTGGACGCAGATATTCCCAATTAATATGAAAGGAATCGGCGGGAGCTTCGTGACTCTGGTGAACTGGTTGGCTTCGTTAGCAGTTTCTTTCGCCTTCAACTTCCTCATGAGCTGGAGTGCTTCAGGTCAGCCAAATATACGTCAGACCCCTATGGAGTATGGACTATGGTGTTGCTTGAATCATCCAGGGACGTTTGTCTGATATGCAGCAAATCTTGTAGGAACATTCTTCTTCTTCGCCTTCGTTTGCGCAATGGCTATTCTCTTCATTGTGAAGATCGTGCCGGAGACAAAAGGCAAGACCTTGGAAGAGATTCAGGCTTCGATAAACTGCGGCACATGAGTGGCTTGGAGAAACATGGCTCTTGTGTTCATTGTGAAGATTCGTGCCAGAGACAAAAGGCAAGACATTGGAAGAGATTCAAGCTTTGATAAACTGCAGCACATGTGTGGTTTCGAGAAAGTTAGATGGCATTTTTCTTTGCCCGCACAATTGTATACAATCTGTATCGAATCTGTAACGAAGATGGGTATCAGGATAGCTAAAACGTGCAGAAGATTTCGATGTTGGTGTATCCTTCTAGAGGATTTGCAACTGCCTCCTCTTCTATTAGATCTAAAATAGTATGATATATAGTCAAACAAAAGTGAGTGAATTTTCATCTACTGATGTAATCAGCTGAGAGCAACAGACATGCAGTCAGGCATGTTACATAGTGCCTTGCCGCGCCATTTTTCTCTGGGGTTGTAGAATCTTTTGGTCTTTATTCCTTCTTGAGCATGTCTGCCTTTGGCAGCCTCCAAGTGGTTATCGTGATGTTTGTTAACTGCATGTCTCATGCTGTCCGTCTAATGGCCCATTGTGCGGATATTTGATTGACTTGCAAGTGACCAACATTTTCATTTGTTGGGATCTTGTTCACTGCATCAGGTATTAGTACTGCGGCTATCAACCTCCTGTAAAAGAGATATGACTCTCAAGCTAAATGGTTTCATCTTCAAACCATAAGCATCAGAAGATCCTTGTAAAGTTACCTCAATACTCTACTATCTAAGAAGACTATCAACAACGCAAGGAACCCCAGATTTTATGTTTATATAATGTGAATCAGATGAAGCTGAAGTATTTTGCACATCTTCATAGACCACAATTCATGGCGAAATCGAAGCTGCGCTATCCCATCCAAGGTAATAAACCTACAGAACAGCGGCTCTAGGCTCACCTCACGTGCAAAACGAACGGGAACAGATTCGATTGATTAACGGTGATGGTATAGTAGTGCTGAAGGAGAAGCTGAGATGTAGAGAGACGCAAGAACTGAGATAGAGGGCGGAGACTGGAAGGAGGAGAGCACTGACCGAGCAGGACGTTGAGGCTGAGGCGGGGGCGGCGGATGAGCCAGGGGACGCCGTCCAGCAGGTGCCGCTTGCTGTTGGCCGTGGGCCGTGGCCCCGAGGTCAGCGCGGGAGAGGCGGGGAATCTGGGACTTCCCGTCGGCGGAGAGGACAAGGTATGGACACGGCACACAAAGGACTCCCGAATTCCCGGCGGGCAACGGCTCAGCGCCGCGAGCTTCTCGACCAGGCGGCGCCTATACCTGGGCATATGTCGGGCCGGGCCGGGCCAAAAAAAGCCCGGTGCTGAAAACTCAGGCCCGAGCCCGGTCCTGCCTGACCGACGGGCCTAACAAATCAGGCCCAAGCCTGGCCCAAACCTGAAAAGTCCAACATGGCCAGATTGGCCTGGCCTGACTGTGTCTAAAATCTTTTTTTTCTGTAAGCCCAAACCTGGCCCGATATGCCCATCGGGATCAATTTCCAGGCTCGAGCCCAGCACAATGGCACGTCAGGCCCAGTCCACCCCGAGATTTTCAGGCCGGGTCGGGTCGGGCTACCCATAGCCAGGTATAGCGGTGCCAGATCCTTACTGGGCCGGCTCGACCCGAAACTACAGATTGATCAGAGTGTATTTTTTACTACTGGATGTATCCACACCCTCATTGACAGAAAATTTGAAAAAAAATGTAAATGATAATCTAAAATTTTGTGCTATCAATAAGTTTTTCCTATTTTCATTGAATTTACTGTTCCTGAGGTTGTGTGGGTACTCCGAGAGTAAGCACGCCTTTTCGCAGATTGGTGCATGTAGGGGCATATTGCAGCAGCAACAATGGTGGGGCTCGGTACGTTGTTGCAGGCAGAGGCAGCCTCTACGATGGAGTGGGCCGTCGATGGCGGCTGCCAGGCTGTCACATTTGCAATGTCTAAGTCACGTTGAAGGAGTGCTCTCCCTCGCCCGTGTGAATCTCTTCCATGGCCGTCACTGGTGATGCGCTCTGTTTTCCATAGCCAGCGTGAGAAACAAGATTGGTGACCATCCCTCCCAGATCGAGCAAGGGAGGTGTGGCTGGATCATTCGAAAGGAAGAAAAACCAATGCAGGAGGTGAGGGACGGATGAAGTGTGGCAAGAACGTGTTCTGCGTGGAAAGGAAACGTTATTCTTTTTTTAAATAGCATTGAACATCTGTCTTGCAGCAAAACAGAAGTACCATTGTTGCACGCACTTACCGACTTCTTCTTCTTCTTCTTCTTCTTCTTCTTCTTCTTCTTCTTCTTCTTCTTCTTCTTCTTCTTCTTCTGTTTGCAGGTTTGTTGCATCTACTTGCCAAGTATGGACACACTGATGAGCTCCGTGAATTTCCCTGGAACTGCACACACTTATTCCACAAGGAATGCGTCGACAAATGGCTCAAGATAAATGCACTCTGCCCTCTGTACAAAGCTGAGATGGCGAACTCATCGATCTAGCACATCTGATACTTGATCGCCACTCCTTAACCATGCACCTTAGTGCACCGGCAAGATCGAGATGCATTAGGTTGGTCTGCCTTCGGAGGTGATAATACACAAATGTATAGTCGCTCGCGGTGCCGCCTGCATGTATAAAGTTGATGCTTTTGATGTATGGATTGGGACCCTCGTATCTAGCGAACGTTTGACCGGAACGTGTGGCATTTAAAAAAATCATGGCATTTTGAGTTGTATGTGGGGTGTAAGTTTCTTCAGAGCAACATGGCATTTTCTAGGATGGATTCTCAAAACTGCCATCTTCCAAGAAAATGCCATGTCGCTTTGAAGAAACTATGATCCCACACACAACTAAAAATGCCATCGAAATCGTTCAAAATGCTATCTATTCCCGACGAACGTTCACCGGGTAACACTACCGATGGATTGTAATGATGTCCCAAGGTTTCTTTTTGTCCTTTTTATCTTGGAGAAGTTACAACTCTTCTCATTGTCAACGGTACTCTAAAATGCGGGCCAGGAGGATGTGCCTCCTCCACTTGTAGTTATGGGTGGGGATGAACGACAAGTAAAGAAGCAACATCATGGTTACATATTTCAGAAAGAGCTTGGAGACAGTTCAGGACGGCGGTTTGGTCACCATTAACAATGTTTGGCAATTAGACAACAAGTTTCCGATTCAAGTGGCACAATTAATGAAAGATACATGCTTGTCGTTTGCATTGTTAAAGTTGCTAAGGTGTCGATTTGCAAGGTACAGACTCGCCGATGTGATCTCCACAGAGACCCTCAAATTTTTCACAAGCGTCTTGCTAAAGGATGGTCAACATAAAAGGGCATTCAAATGCAGATGAGCTTTCTTTTCTTCATGATTATTATGATTCACCACTCCCAATCTCCTATTCAGATAGCTGGTTAACGTATTTAGTATAGTTGTCTCACTCTTGAGCATAGGTTACTGCATACTTTGTGGAATAGACGTCATCACGGGGGTGTAACCTAGCAGCTCATTCAAAGAATTATTTTGTAGACCCAAGATTTCCTTTGGGTCCTCAAGACCTGAAAGCAGTTGATTGCATTTGCTATTATCGTCGCTTGTTTTTTGAAAGCAAGCCCCAATCACAATCGGTTGGAAGTTTGAATTTTGATCTAGTGCCAGTATTGTTACTCCTTATGGTTGTCGTGGTTGCTGAGACGGAGGATATTGTTTACCACATATGCTCCAGCTGGACTAAAGTAATCCTCACATGCCGCTATGTGCACCGTGCTTCTTTGCAACTTTCTCCGATCGTCCCTAAATGGATTGAAATTTTTGTTGCGATGCAGATGCAACAGGTTCCCAAGCCATGGGAAATGACAAAATGAGGCAAACCTCGTTGTTGGTGCTTCACCCGAGGCAATTTCTTCAACTTCTCCCAGGTTGCCTCCATTTTGTGGACCGAAAGAGGAATAATGTCAAAATACCATCGGCAATGAAAGTTTGCATCATGGATCCCCTAAGAAGCACAAGCAGTGGAGGCCTTAGCAAAGGAATAACGTCCCTGGGCCAAGATGGTGAAAGTTCACTCTAGGCCTGCAACAACAACAAAAGTACATGTGACACCATACTTGTGTGGCACATCACCACGACCATCCTTGAGGCAACGCACCCACACCACCAGCATGATGATCCTCCTCGTCAAACACCGCAACATGGTCCGCCTTCTTCTATTTCTATTTCCGTTTCTGATATGAAGACCACCGCCACTCACCTGTCGCGCTATTACGCGTATCTGGTGGCGTCCTTCCGCCAGAAGTGCGAGTGAGCCCTCTTGGCCGGCACTGGGGTGTTGTCCATGCCGCCAGAAATGGGGTCCCGACGACTCATTGAGTTGTTGGGCGCCACACAGAATCATGAGGTGCTCAAGGATGTAGCAAAGCTCTTGGTGGCTTGGGGAGCTGACCGGAGGCGAGGAGATGGTGTGGGAGTTGCTGGCCGGGTTTTGGTTGGAGTTGATCATGTATGTGGCTCCGTCCGACAACATCGAAGGGCACCTGCAGGCCATCGACTAGGGCGGCAAGCTGATAACCCTCCTCTAGGCCTTGCTCATCCATGTCGGGATTGTGGACAGGCTGGCCGATGTCGTTGCCGACGCTGCAAATGCTCCAACCACTGGTGGTTAAGTTTGCTCTGCTTATTCATTTATGTGTTAGCTGTTGATTTCAATTCCTTTCATTGTTCATTAAGGTCTTGTTGTAAGTGTTTTAAGGTCTCCTAGTTGGTTGGCTTTTTTCCCCTCATTTTTTTGAAAGGAACACATGAATGCATTCCATTACATACCAGTACTAGGCAAATAGCCCATTACATAAGTCAGTACAAAGTTTGGGAGTTGACCCAACCAGGTTTCACACATATAAGCTCCCAGGTTAACTCCATACACAACTAAAACATGTACCACTCTGTTACAAGCCTGAGGGCAAGACATAACACTAGCAGCAGAAAACTCCACATACAGTTGAAACTTAATACTCCTAACAATAGCTCCTATGTTCGC